AGTTATATATATGCAACAGAGGATTCATTATTTCTAGATGAGTTTCTTTAATTGTTTCTATCTGTATATTGTCATGTCCCGGTGCGCTGTTATTTTTTAGCGATGCTATATGCTTGATTAATTCATTTTTTGTAACCGGATGTAAGAAAATTGATTTTTGTGTCCGAGGATTATCCTGATTTATATCAGTAGAGGGAATAGCCTCTGCCATTTTGATACCGATATTAACAAAATAGTCATTACAAAAATTTGCCATGTCTAGAAAATTTGTAAAATTTTCCCCCAGATCGGTTTTAATGTCTATGGAATCCTTCGCCTTCACATTTTTTTCGTAAGTTGCGTCTCTAACGATTTGATACATTTTTTTTAAATTATTTTTATTTTTATCAATTTGATTTTTATAATAATTATTTTCTTGTTTATGAATCAATTTATTTAGATAGTTTCTGTATTCTTTATATTCTTTTTCGAGATGTGTACTATAATTAGATAATTTTAGTTTCTTTTTCATTTTATCTCTTTTTTTAATAGATGTTACAATACCAACACTAATCCAATTTTTTATTTTCTTGTATTCTTTAACATTAATTGTATATGTTTTAGTAGATTTAGAAAGCAATTCATATAAGTAGATAAAAACAATTGTGTAGCTATTTGAGGGTCAGTTTTATCAATAACATTTGACCAATCACACTGTCGTAATTGGTCTATTAGTTTATTTATATTTATTTTCGATTTTATTTGATGTTCCTGATCAAGTGTTTTTCCGGCAGAGTTAACCCTACTTACAGAGAGCACAACAGGACTGTGATCTGTTATATCTTCATGAATGATAAAGGAATTTAGCTGAAGGCCAATTAAATGAAAACTATTTTTAACAAATATATGATCTAAACATGTTTCAGATAGAGATCTCGTAACGGAATTAATATATGACTGATAACCAATTGCATTCATTAGAGCCAAATATTCGATAACATTATTGTCATTATTATCCAATAAATTTATGTTAATGTCCCTACAAAAATTTCAATATTCGCCCTTGTTTCATTACCCAGAAAACTATGTATGTCATTTGTAAAGTCTTTATTTGGTATGGGTGGGGGCTTATAAACTGCCGTCAACCCAAAAGATATATCATTTATCTGAAACGTTATTCTTCCTAGTGTTGCCCGGGAAATATTCAAAAACCTAATAGTAAAATCAACAACAATACCCTCCCTAACTAAAATCATAACACCATCATTCTTATTAAATTTTGCTTTATTATAAAAAATTTGATATCCTGGTATATTACAATTTGTTGTAGTGGCAAGTTGAAAGGTTTCACTTAATATAAGAATATCCATATACCTCAAATTATATGACTCCAAAAAAGTAAATAAACTGTCAATGTTTTTATTAACGCTTCTTATATTAAAATGAATTATACTTAAAAAACAATCATCATTAGACAGCAGTTCCTCCATTTCAGCAATATCCACGCTTTTACTTCTGAGATCATTATCTTCATTAATTAAATTAAGAACTTCATCCTGCAAATGATTCACCATGTGACTAAGTATTATAATCTGTTTTACTTCTTAGGAGTTTTATGTAGTATTCGAGCGATAGACAACTTGCATCTAGAGCACTATGATCAATTTCATATTCAGTGTTGTATTGTTTGTTGGCAGTCATACAGTTTATACATTTTTTAGTTTCACTTTCACATTCAGTTGTAACGTGATTTCCAGCACAATTTCCACATACTTGTTTTCGTGTACACTTATTGTTTTTGTGGTTGAAACCCTGACATTGATAGCATCTTGAAATCGTAAGATCTTCATACACAGGTAGTCGCTCCCAGTTAATGTATATTTTTCCATAAGTTAACATTTTAACATACAAACTTCCCGAGCATTCAGCATAAATTGTTAAGGTTTGTTCCTAAATTTTCTTATAAATGTTACTTTTAGATGTTCATCTCTGTTAATCCACGGGGTTTGCTTTCTTATAATGCTTTTCAGTACATCCGATGATTCTCCTCCAGTATAATTTGCTATTTTTATTTTTGGAAACACTTTCTTAGGTCTATCAGTCTCATATTTTCCTCCCAATTTCTTTCCTATTTCTTCTTCTAACCTCCCTATTTCCCCCTCAGTGTCACACTTTAGCACTATAATTCCCTTTCTGGTTTCTTTTAGGTTTCTTATACCTATATTTAAACTAATTGGATTTATAGATTTTTGTATCTCCTTCCGGCTCTTTTCAGTATTTTGAGCAATTTTAGGCTTAATAATCAAAGTTGGCAAGTTTGTGTTTACAATCGGCATTTTTACTACTGCAGTCTTAAGAGTATCAGCATAGGTTTCTTTCAGGTGATTCGTTTTTTTAAAGCTTCTATATCTTTCTTCATATCTTCAATCAACTATATAGGGCATTCTTGCTATGAACTTTCTACATTCTTCACAAATAAATAGTAGTACTCGCTTTTGCAATGGCATGCAACGCGCCTCAGATGAGGGTAAATTGGAGCATTCTTTATGAATTTTCTTTAAGCATGAATCACATTTATAAAAATCTTCATCGCATGTTTGTTTTCATTTAATACATGTGTTTTGGTCAAGTTCATTGCCATCCATGTTTATTTATATTTTCACTTCGTACCATAAACCATAAAAAGGCACAAAATATAAAGGCAGAAATTCCAATTGAGATTAACTTGTTTTTTTACTGATAGCACTATTGTTCAGGGCAAAATCTTAGTTATTTCAATTTTCACTGCAAATATCCACTTGAAAATTAGTTCATGGTGTCATAAAATATACCACTTATCAAAAAACTGCAATTTTTTTATCAACTATAACTTGTAAAATTAAAGGTTTATTCGGAGCGAGACAACATGCGTCTTTTTATATGTTTACAAGTTTTGAATATACTTAATATACTTTGAATATACTTAATATACAAATACTTAATAAAGTAAAACCAAAACTCTTCAAACTTTCTGTATGATTAGTTTAACTTGATATAATGCCATTTTAACAGAACGTCAACGGTTTTTGTAGACGAACCTGTTAAAAAACTAAAGTGTTCTCGAATAGTTGCATTTAGATATTTTAAATAGTTTTTTTCTTTGTTTATTTGTGTTTTTTTTTGCTTCCGACGACGGAAAGAGATATACTTTCCGAAACCTTAAGCATTTTTTGTCCGTAGACAATAATTAGTCTCCATTGGATTAACGCAGTAGTGTTAAAAAAATAACTGTTTTATCTTGTAGATTTTCTTACAGTAGGGAAATACCCATAAGACTTTTTTGGTGAATATTATTTTAATTCAACTAAATTTCCTCAGATATAATATATGTTTCATATTAATTTGTTCATCGATTTATTTAAAAAAAATGTTAAATAAATCAAGTAATTTCAATTACACACAAGTATGACAAAGTGTATACGTATATACCTATAGTATTTATGCCTAAATAATTAGCGGTTTAGTGTGGATATAAATTAAAATCACTGATTATGAATTATTTCATTATGATAATAACTATAACCTGTTAATTAAATATCGAATTGTAGTAATGTGAATTTGTGAGACTAATAACTATATATTCATTTATAATTGTTATCCATAACCGAATTGACTTTAATATAAATAATACTTAATATCCCTTACGATCAAATTCTAACTTACACCGTAATTAGGATGCTTACAATCAGCAAGTTTACAAGTCAGCACCTCTTAGTATACAACTTAGAATATGCTTGTTACCATTTAACTCTTAAATGTTTGGAATAAGTACCGAATTAAAACTGAAAAGGTTGGTTAATTTTGACTCTTGATATGGTCTTAATCAGTAACGGCTCGTGTCATTATTGTCAATATCTAAAAATATTGCGTTGATTTTTTTTAAGAGGCGCCCAAATTTAATTGGTTTCTTACAAGGTACTTGTAAGTTTAGTTAAAGGAAAATAAATCTAAAAATACATACAAATTATGTTAAAATGAAACCGACCCTTACATTTTTATAAACTGTAGTATAGTATACTCAGTGAATGTTCGTTACACAAATTTTCCACGGTAGGATTTAAAAGACACTTAAATAATAATGTCACAAAAATAGAAATACATACATACACATATCTAAAAGTTTTATTTCATATTTTCTTTATATTTTAAGTTAATGCTGAGTTCTTTCTCTAAACGTTTTTCGAAATTTACGCAATTATTGTTTTCTTTTAACCGCATGATTTTACAAACTAAACACCATGTTGTCTATTTGAAAATATCTATTCCAGAATCAGTCAACAACAGTTCATTATTTATCCATAACCAGAAAATTATGAATTAGTACCTAAACAAATTTAGCGCTACACTTCAAACCCTCTGGTACAACAAAGCTACGACAACTAAAACTAGATCGGATTTCTTTCGATATTAAAAATTGAAATATTGCTTTTTATTGACTAAACCAAACACTATACGCGATACGCGATCAAAGATACAAAAATCTAGGTTGTTTTATAATTTGAGTTTTTATAAACATCCAAACTGTCCAAACGGCGAAATGGCGGTCAACGGTCAATATAAACTATATCTATCGCACCTTAACCCATTATATTTTCTATGCGTAGTATACCTTACCTTGTTGGCGTCACGAGCCGCGGCATTTGTAGTTTACTACGTGTAAAACTTAGCGGGAACGAAGGACAAAATGAAATTTTGACCGGCGCGGCAGTAGAGAAAATGGATAAAATAAAACGTTTTCAAGCGAAAATTGGACAAATTGAAGATTTTTGGGAATAGTTTTGAATATCTTAGGATGAAAAAATGTGATTTATAAAAGGTATAATTTAAATATGTTTTTCTAATTTTATCCTGATTTTTTTTGGGGGGGGGGCATTGACCATTTGACTCCATGGTTAAGCCGCCACTGGTCTTAATAGATCCTATACAGAGGTTTCTTATATGCATTGATGCATGATGATGATAAATATTGAATGTCTACGTACCTTATGCTTTCCACAGTTAGTACCAGGTGCGGCAGGTCGTAGAAGTGTCGTACACGTATCATTAACACTACACCAAAGTCTAGAGCAGATCTCATCCAATGGGGAACAAACTGTGGCATCGGGTGCACCAAACTGAAGCCTAAATATTAAAGATTATAGAGAGTATGGCGTGACAAATCCAGAATAACGTGATACCTACTTACCGACATTGATACTCGGCATTGTACATAGCTCCGGCTGGCAATTCTGGGTATTGATATTCTTCTATGTCGACTGGTTTGTCATGTAGACATTTTCCCAAGCCTTTGCTAGATGTAAAAATAACAATTTATAACAATGTTCAATATTTTGTGATTAATATTTATTGTGATTAACAAAATTGCGTTTATCTTATCAAGGTGATCGAAATCGACAAGATTTCAAGATACCTAGTATTATTAACAGAACATAACTATTATGTTCTGTTAATAATACTAGTGTTTGTGTGTTAACAGAACATACCTAGTCATACAGACCGTTTAATCGGCATTAAACGGTCTATACAATTTTGCTAGCAAGAGAAAAAAGTTATAGCGCACATGTTTTCTTGTAAAAAAATATTCCAGTGATAACACATATGCACGTCCCTGGTGAATCTGTCAACACTTTCTAAAATATGTAACACTTATAGTAATTATTAGGGCAACGGCCCAGCTACGTCGAAACACCGGTTCCCATTAGAACACCGAAGTTAAGCGACGTAAGGCGATACTGGTGGATGGACGGGTGACCGGTTCGAAACTCTGTATCGTGCTGTTGTCCAAAAAAAAAGCAAAAGCTTAAAATCTATTGACACACACTGCTCATTTACGCCGGTTCTAGGCCGGATGAGATCAGATATCTCGTGAGTAAGAGTCGATTTAGACACTTGCCAAGTCGGTAGGCCATTGACCATGATATGGCCGAGGATAGCGGTTCGGATTCCGCGTAAACAAAGTAGGCCCGGTCGAGATTAGCCCTGGCAGCAAAAAGGAGACGTTAACTGAAATCTGTACTTTATAGTAATTATTAGCCTCAAATGTTCATTGGAACAGCAAAAAATTGTGTAAATTAATAAAAAATTATAATTAATCGAAAAAAATGTGGAGATTTTAAATCCTTATGGCTAGATACTTAACCTACTTAACGAAACAAAGCAGAATTGGACCTATGTTAATATAACAAATAAGTAGTATTTTTACGTGAAGAACTACGTGAAGTAGAGATGGCACACAATACCCTGTAGTATACTTATTAAGCAAAACATTATAAATACAAATCAAAGTATATATAGAACAATTTTAGAACCAGAAAATTGATTTTCATTTTACATTTTGAATTTAATAATTTACACGTCTGAATCTCCATTTTAACCGTAATCCTTTTCGTGTCAGCCCTTCTCAGTGTCAGAAGACTACAGTGTTTTTGTTAACTTGAGTGCTTGTTCTATTTTTAATGAACGCAGGAATTATGCATAACCAGAATAATATAATAAGAATTATAAATATTCAGACTGCTTTACGCATATATTATTGTGCTAAGTTTAGAACCTCCTACAAAAATATTTTTTATGTAATATAGGTATATAAAATATTTATTATATATGTTACAGTAAAAGTTGAAAATCAGTATTTGTTAACAATTACTAGTGAAAGCTCACATTCACTGATTTGCTAAGATTACGCCAGTAAAAGTTCAACAGCTATTTTTGAAACCAACTTTTACTAGTGAATGCTAGCATTCCCTGGACGATAGCAGTGAGTTTGAAAGATTAAGTTAGCGCGATTGCCACATGTTGTAAAATATAAGGAATAACAAGAAGTAAAAGTTAAATAATAGGAAATATAAGGATAACATTAAATTGTGATAAACGTTGGCAACGTTGACAGACATCTGGCGTAAATTCACTTTGTTTTTTTGTGGTTATGTATAATTGTTTTGCTATCGTTGTAAAAAGTGCTGTCCGGTATTCTGAAGCCATTATGTTCCGGTAAGTTCTGAAGCCATTATGGACTTATGGTTATTGGGGGTTGTACCAAACAAAGCAATCGAAATATTATCCAAAGATTCCAAAACAAAGTACTACGAGGTACTGCTGACGTACCGTGGTACATTTTCAATCACAATGTACATAAGTACTTAGAAGTGGATGATATCGACAGCGTCATCAAGAAATATGCCTTAAGACATGAAGAGAGGCTCCATCAGCGCATCAACATCGAGGATCCTGGATAGCGATGGCTTAGTTAGAAGACTGAAAAGAACAAAACCATTTGAACTAGTGTAATGAAAAGTGTTACTACACCCCAGTGCATTCTAACATAGTGCTAAACAGAACTGACAGAACCAAAATCACTATCATAGGATTAGTGCTTTGTATTTTAACCATAGCAAATTAAGTAAAAAATAAATATATTATTAGTAAAATTTTCCTAGATTGCTATACTAAATTGCCCAAGGGTGATTAAAAAAAGAAATAGGCGAAAGCCTAAACGTTTAGAAATAGCATTGACAAAATCAAGACAACTTAAGGTATGTTGGCATTTACCATTTGTTTGGTGTTGTAATTGGTTTTACATTGTTACCTGTTCAGTTTTAATTTAAAAATAGATGCAGTGTTTTTTAAATTACATAAAATCTTGTCCGACATAGTGCAAACTTGTTATGTGTATTCTCAGCATACGCAAACCTTTAAAAAATCTATTATGACTTGGCTCTAAAATCAACAGGAGAACCAATCCATGGATAGTTCAAAATTTGCATGGGATTTCCTATGTCTCCAACTACGATGCACCACCCGGTATACCATCTAAATTGCTTACAGTTTAATCAGCGTTACAAGAATCGAGTTTTCCAAATCTCCGAATTGATGTTCTCTTATTGATATAAAGCAAAAGTAGGTCAATGATCGTGGCAAGGGCTGGCTGAGGTGAAATTGAGAAAAATAAATCCAGAATTCATCAAAAGAATTTTTCTCGCAGAAAGTTAAAACACATTTTACCAGTCTAATGGCGTGAAGCTAATTTAATGATTTGATTCGTTCTCTTCGAATCGGTCCTTTATGGAATATGATTGAAAATAAAACCCGTTTTATTTGAAGTCGGAAGGAAACGCACTATAATATATTCAGGAGGCGTTGATAGTTCGTTTCTTAATTAAATAGTTTTGAATCGACTTACTTTTCAATAGGGATATTTTTTATTTAAATAAATAGTGACTGGATGATTTAAATACAGGGTGGCGCCTCTCTTACGACACGGAGCATCCAGGGAGAACGATAGTTTATATATAAATGAAATTTTGGAAGCATAGGTAGATTAATTGAAAGCATTTTATAAAAATATACAGAGTTCTACAGAGTGTGCTCAAAAAAAGTTACACATCAAAGTTGTGTTTTTTGTAATGGACCACCTTATATATTAATTGATTTTCGTATTCTAGAAGAAAAATAAAGGTGAGTTTTATTCAAGAAATATATGACTAAAATGTAAGGTTTTTGACATATATTGAAGATTTTCTAAAAATGAAGAACAAATTTCAAGTTTCAATAGAAGCAACCTAAATTGGAACTTACCCTGTATAGAGTGATATTTCGTTAAAATGGCCACTGACTGTTAAACAAAATTAAAACTTAACCGAAAAAGTTGTACAGGGTGAAACAAAATTAATATTAAATATTGGTCGCTTTTAAAAGTAAATTACTCCTTTATTTTAAATGTATACGGTATATTATTCCGATATAATGTTTTACAGTATGTATATTACTTCCGATATTCAGTGGAGAATTCATATATCTTCAAAATGTTCTTAATGTTGCCTACCCCTTAATCAAAAATGTTCCTAGATATTTTTATTTTTATGATTTTGCGTCAGTAGATATTTATTATTTGATAAAATCTAGGTGGCTGTGATATACCTTTCGTTAATTTAAAAAAAAACATTAAATGATCTAGATTAAAATATTCAATGGTAATAACAAGATAAACGTTTAAAGCATATTTTAATTATTACAGAATTAAAACTTAGATATGCTAGTTGAAATCTAATGCTCAAAATGCTACTTTTCCTGCTCACTGCATAAAATAATTATCTCTTCAAAAGATCTTTTTATTTTAAGAGGCATATGTGGGGTTTTACTTCGAAAAGCAGCCACATTCATTTCTCTCATGTTGTCGATAATAGTTGATCGAGATTTGTAAGCACCGTCTTTAACATATCCCATAAAAAAGCTCGGACTAGATAAATCAGGAGCATTTAAGTATTCTATGAATGGGTGAATGCACAATCCAGGCACCAGACATTAATTAATAGAATCATGCATGTCACTTTCTCTCTGATGTAGGATAAGTTTTAGTTTTCGGCAAATTTCTAAAAATTTGTTTTGATTTAACTGACACAAAATAATAACTAGTTGTTAAAGTTGACCTAATTTGACAGCTATGTTGAAATAACATCAGGCATATCACAGCCACCTAGATTATGTATATATCAAATAAAAAAGTCTGACTGACACTAAATTATGAAAATGAAAATATTTAAGAAAATCTTTGTTTGAGAGGTAGGCAACCTTAATAATATTTTGAAGGGACATGAATTTTCCATAGAATATCGGAATAATATACTGGGTGTTCCATTTAAAATAAAAGATTAATTTGCCACTAGGTGACCAATGTTCAATATTAATTTTGTCTCACCCTGTATAAATTTTTAGGTCAAGTTTTAATTTGGTTTAAAGTACAATAGTAGTTTTAACTACATAACATTAGGCTATACCGGGCAAATTCCAATTTAGGTAGCTTTTATGTTGTATTGTATTATGATGTATTGGGTTTATCTGAAACTTGGTTGTCATCTAACTATGGAAATAATGATTTCAATGTTACTGGATATTCTTTTGTTAGAAAGGATAGAAATGGTTGAGGAGGGGGTGTAGCAGTATATATAAAAAAAACATTTATCATACGAAATTGCTCGTTTGGACATGGCTACTAATTCGTGTGAATTTATAGCCGTCCAGTTAACTATAAAGCAAAGAAAAATTTTACTTTTCAATGCATTTGATACTCTAGACCATTCATTGCTCCGAGCAAAATTACAGTATTTTGGATTTTCAGAGGGCTCTTTAGAATTGTTAAAAAACCTTTTAAAAGATAGATCACATTGTGTTGTCATGAAACGGGGAGTTTAAAACAAAAATCTAGTTATATTCCTATGATTTCTAGGGTTCCTCAGGGATCTATTCTGGGGCCACTTTTATTTTCGTTATATGTAGCTGATATGGACAAGGAAT